CAGGTTTGAGATGAACCAGGGAGCAGGACTGGGATTAGCCCCTCCAAGGCTGGACTCTGTCTCAGGTGGCAGTAGAGAGAGTGTTTGGTCACATGGGTTGCCAGGCCATCCCCTCTGGAGCCTCAGGGCCCTCTTCCCTTACCTTGAAGTCACTGGTGTTGGCCCCGAAGCTGATCCTGCCCATGTTCTCCATGAGTATGTCCAGGGTGTCCCCTGCCCTGCCTGTGACATGCAGTGTTGTCTGCCCGTCCCGCTCCAGCGTTCCCTGGTACTCCTGCAGGCACACAGCATCCTGCTGCCAGCCTGCCAGAGCCAGGGCTGCTCTCTGCCCCCAGAGGAGGCAAATTTGGGCCCAAGAGCCACCCTGCAAAGGCTCAGCATGGCTTTTGGCACCCTGGCTGTCCCCAAGACCCTCAGATGGCACAGCCCCACTGCCAGCAGGTCCCACAGCCCTCTAGAGCCCTGTCCCAGGGACTGGTGTGCTCCCATAGCCTCACCTTCTGCAGCATCACATAGCCACGGTCACAGATGCTGTGGGGAGCAGCACCCAGGGTGGCTGGGTCTGGGACATCCCAGGGCAGCTGTGTGTGGTACACCACAAAGCCATGGACCTGCAGGACACAGTGCAGTGGCACAGGAAGGGAAATGGAGCCTGAAGTGAGCTCTGCTCCTCTGCCCCAGAGCCAGGGTCAGGCAGACAGGAGCGTCTCCTCAGCGTCCACCACTACACCCAGCCTCTCACCTGCTTTAGGGCCTCAAAGGTGAGAGGGAACTGGCTCTGGATGGGCCCAGAGGGGCACAGCACATCCAAGACATCCAGGAGGTCAGCATACTGCAGAGAGGGATGGGTGCTGGGCAGTTGAGCAGTGCCACGCTGGGGCAGTACAGCCTTCAGGACAGGAACTCACCTTCCGCAGGGCCACCCGGCCATAGGCATACTTGGGGGTGGCAGGTGGCATCGGACCAGCTGGCACGGGCTGGAACTGAACAGCAGACTGTCAGCTGCCCCATGGCAAGCAGGGAGATGTCCCTTGCCCTGCTGGTACACAAGCAGCAGTGCCCAGTACTGTCCCCTTATTCCTGCCAGGTTCGTTACCTTGCTGATGACCGTGCGAATGGCAAACAGCTTCTCAGTGGGGTCTCCTGCCTCCGAGAGGGGGGCATCATAGTCATAGCTGGTGGTCACTGGTTTGTACTGGCCCTTGTAGTCAGCACCTGGACAAAGAAGGGGCTCTGGCACAGCCCAGGGCATGGAACCCAGCCCCAGGCTGGCTGCAGTGCCATGTGGGGGCATGACCCAGAACTGTGAGCCCCTGCACAGGCACGAAAGGAGTCCCCAGGAGGAGACAAGCTTGGGTTCAAGGGCCCTTGGCTATGTGTCAACCTGCCCCATGGGACAGAACAAGAGCCTGAAGCAGGTTTCTCAGGGATGGCCGAGGAAAGCCCCCCAGCCCTGCAGCGTGCCCCCCCTCTCCCTAGAGCAAGGCTCTACTCACCACTCCAGTAGGCAAAATTCGTCCCTCCATGGAACATGTACCTATGACACACCCCAGAGAGCCTGGTCAGCAACCCCACAGACCCAGCAGGGGCTCACCAGGTACTGCCCCTTCCCTCCAGCACCCACAGTCCCTGCTGGCCTGATCCCAGTGGGATGAAGGCAAGAGGTGATGCCCACTCCCCTGGTGGCTGTGCCCTCTGCCAGCTGACTACTTGCATGTTGATGCTGGCTCCCAGCTGCAGCATGTCCTCCAGCCCCCGGGCCACCCACGCCGCGCTGGTGCTGGCATGTGCCTCGCCCCAGTAGTCCAGCCAACCTGTGTAGTACTCAGAGTTTACCTGGAGGACAAAGACACTGTCACCTGCAGCCTGGAGCCAGCGCCCCTCCTTGCCTCACTGCCTGGCGCCTCTGCCTCCCCAAAGCCGCTGTGGGTCATTCCCCCACAGCATCCATGCCAAGCTCACCAGGGGCCCCTTCGGTTCCACGCGGCGCTGGGCACCAAATGCCTCCGTCACATTGGATCCTGTGCAGGTGCAGAGGGGGAGGTTTGAGCAGGACAGAGAAGGCACCCACATCCTCTGTGTCCTCCTCCTCCTCCCCCACAGGGATACCTGGCCCAAAGTCAATGGTGGCATAGAGCCTCTGCAGCGTGCCACAGCGCAGCTCCTCCGCTCGCGCGCTGTCGGTGGTGAAGAGCAGCACCTCGCCCCCCAGCAGCGCCCGAAAGGAGCCCAGCAGGTGCCGTAGGTATCCATAGTCACAGGCGTAGTAGCTCCCATATTCATTTTCCACCTGTGAGCAGGGCAGGGACTGGCACGCAGTATGCACGTGGCAGGGCTGCAGACAGGTTCCACTGCCCACTGGGATGAGCACCAACCTCCCCCCTTTCCTCTGGACATCATCAGGGGAGTCCTCAGCACAACCTTCCAGTCCCACCGTGAGCTCCAGCTCCGTCAGCTCTGTCCCTCAAACCACAGCTGTGGTACCTCAGATTCCCAGTCCTTGGATTTAAATCTAGGTCCAGTAGTTGGGAGGGATTTATCCGAGCTTTGCTGGGTAAGGTCTTTGTGTAGGGGATACTGGTGGCTTTTTGGGGCACGTCCAAGACAACTCAGAGCAGGGCACAGGGCTGGGCCTCACAGCACCTTACCTGCACACTGATGATATTCCCTCCCTGGTGGTACAGGCGTGGCTTGATCTTGGGCAGCAGGACATGGAGCCAGGAGTCCACAGCTGCCAGGTAGGCTGGAGGGACAGAGGCAGGGCAGGGGCTGGCTGCAGCATCCACCCCAGCCCACCTGCAGCCAGCCTGCCAGGAGGAAGACACAGCAGATGGGGCAGGGTCAAGCAAGATGGGGAAGTGGAATACAAACTATGGGGCTCTCAAAGGATGGAGAAGATGATGGGAAAGACCACAGAGGCAGAGCTGGCAGGTGTGTGGAGACGATGCCAGGACTAGCACCAGGCTGTAAGGACATGGTGGCCAGAGCCCTGTGCTGATCCTCACCAGGGTGGGAAGTGCGCAGGATGATGTCTGGTTTCCACAGCAGCCAGGCAGGCAAGCCACCCTGGAAAAACACACACGGCAGAGAGGGAGGCACAGAAACTGCTCAGCAGCCTGGGCTTGCACACTGCTGAAATGAGCCGTGCAATGCTAGTGCTTGGCACCAGCACGGCCTGTGGCCTTTGGGAACAGCCTGGGCACAGCGGGCACGGCACTGGAGTCAGCGCGGCAGCCAGAAGGGCCAACCCTGCTGTGCCTTCCCAGACCACCCGTCACCCCTCTGTGCCAGGCTGGGAGCCTCACCATCTCCCACTCTGCACAGATGTAGGGCCCTGGCCGCAGGATCACCAGAAGTCCCAGCTCAGCTGTCAGGTCCAGGAAGGCTTCCACATCCCGGTTCCCAGAGAAGTCATAAACTCCTGGCAGTGTCTCATGGTAGTTCCAGGGGACATAGCTGGGGTGAGAGGGGAGATCAGCATGCAGGGGCTAAGGACACCATGACAGGACAGCACGACAGGGAACCATCCCACCAGCTGGTCCCTCTGCTTCTGGGAGTTGGCCTGCAGCCTGAGCTGAGTATGGCAAGTTGGGCTGGACTGGAACTAGCCCACACTCATGCTTGTGTCTAGCAGGGGTGACCTGGGGATGGGGGGGGGGGGGTCACAGCCAAGTGCAAATGTTGGTGCTTGCTCCCCGTGGTCAGACAACATCCGTGTCTCTGTTCCTACTGATCCCAGAAACCCCGTGGTGGCTGCGGGCTGTGCACCACCAGGGCTGTCGCCATGGCTTACACCTGCACAGTGCTGAGCCCGCTCATGTACATCTTGAGCAGCCGGTCCCTCCAGGCAGGGCGCGGGACGCGGGCGTAGTGGATGCTGCCCGAGATGTAGCGGAAAGGGGCACCATCCTTGCGGAAGCAGTTGTGTTCGTAATCCAGCTGGAAGGAGCGCGCCGAAGGGGAGGCCTGCAGGAAAAGGGAAGAGCTGGAGGCTTGCAGAACCTCCCCGATCCCAGCCGCCCCCTCCCGTGCTTCCCGGGACAGGCACTGACGGGGCCGAACTGTCCTGGGAGAGCAGGAGCGGGGAGCTGAGCCTCCCCGCTAATCAAACACCCGGCGGCTGAGCTGGTGGCCTTTGTGGGGACGGTGCTACTGGGGTGGGTGCTGCGAGGGCAGGGAAGGAGCTGGGAATGCAAGCTGGGACATTGTGGCAGGAAATGGGCTGCTGCAGAGGGGAGCTATAGCACGCCGAGCAGGGAGACGGATCGGGAAGGCAGATTCGGGAGGCTCCTTCCCAGCTCAGTCCTGCGCGCTTCGCCCAGACTTTGCACCCTCGTTTGCTAACCTGCGTGTGCAGGAGCCCCGCTGCCAGCAGCAGGGCGAGAGCCGGCAGTCCCATGCTCGCCGGGTGCCCGGCAGGCCCGGGACGCGGGACGAGGCTGGACGTGGCCCCCGCCACCACGTGGTGCGGGAAGGATCTTGGCCAGAGCTTCCTTCTCCCGGTTCCAAGCGCAGGCAGCTGGAACAGCTGGGGCGGGACCACGGGAAAGGGGTGGCGGCTCCGACCCTCCACGTCTGGCCAGCCGCGCATCAGCCCCGCAAAGCCCACCCAGCAGGGGATGCGGGCGGCACAGCCAGCTCCGGCCGGCGGGCACACCTCTGGTGCCCAGTGCGGTGGGGAGTGACAATCAAAGTGAGGGGACAAGGGGCCTCATGAAAGTGTCACCACCAGGCAGAAGCCCTCCATAGAATTCAGCCCGCTTGCTCCATCAGAGGTGGTGATGGAAAGCTCTGATCGGAGGGTTGCTGCTGCTGCTGCTGCTGGATGAGGGGAAGGAAAACGTCCCCGGGCCGAGGGCTGGAGCTGCTGACAGAGCTAGTGACAGGGGTGCCGGGAGGTGCTGCAGGACAGGCCGAGCCGCCAGGCGCAGGGAGGGCAGATCCCGGCAGCGGGCAGCGGGAGGCGGTGCCGCCGCCCCGCCCCGGGTGACGCGGCGGAGACGCGGCGGTGACGCGCGGCACCGGGCGATGACGCGCACGGGCGATGGGGCAGGCGCTGTGCGTCTGCTCCCGCGGCACCGTCAGCCTGGGGGGAGCGCGGTACCTCCTGCTCCACCGCCTGGCAGAGGGGTGCGCGGCGGGCTGGGGCGCGGGGGGCTCGGGCGGGCGGCCCCGAGCTCCGGGAGGGATGCTCGGGCAAGGGGGGTCCGAGGGCCGAGGGAGTGCTCGGGCGTGGGGGGGATGCTTGGGCGTGCCTGTGTGTGGGGGATGCTCGGGCATGGAGGTACGCGGGCTGGGGGTGCTTGTAGAAGGAGGGCTTGGGTGTGGCGGCATGCTCGGGCATGGAGGTGCTTGTGCACGGGAGATGATTTGGCATTGGGGTGATGCTCAGGGTGGTTGTGCATGCGGACATGCTTGGGGATGGGGTGACACTCAGGCACGGGATGCTCGGGCAGGGTGGGGAGATGCTTGAGTTCAGGTCACCTTGGGGAAGTACTTAGACTTGGTGAGGGATGATGCTTCGGCATTGGGGGTGCTTGTGCATGATAGATGATTCTCCTGCTGAGTGACAGGGAAGGGTTGGTCATTCTCAGAAGTGGGTGCTTGGAGCCATGGCAGTGGGGATGATTGAGCCAGTGGGGTTTTTCATACACAGAGGTGATGCTTTGGGTTCTTCACAGATGCCTGCAAGATGGGAAGATGTGCATACCTGGGGACTTCATGCCACCCTCTGTCCCCCTCCCCTGGGTGCTTGTAGATGAGACTGGGCACAGGGCCCCAGCATGGATGTCACAGCCCTCAACCCACGCTATTCTTGACTCCTTGCAGGGGCTTCAGCTATGTGGACCTGGTGGAGGGGCTGCGGGATGGGCGCTTCTACGCCCTGAAGCGCATCCTGTGCCACGACAAGGAGGACCGCCAGGCCGCCCTGCACGAGGTGGAGATGCACGGCCTCTTCGACCACCCCAACATCCTGCGCCTGGTGGCCCACTGCATGGTGGAGAAGGGCACCAAGCACGAAGCCTGGCTTCTGCTGCCCTATGTGAAGGTGAGAGGGGCTTTCCTGGCTGCTCCATCACCCCAGGAGCAGCAGTGGTGACCAGCTGCTTGTGTTTGCCAGGGGGGAACCCTCTGGAGAGAGGTGGAAGCACTGCGGGAGAAAGGCACCTTCATGCCAGAGCAGCGGATCCTCCTCATCCTCCATGGGATCTGCCGTGGGCTGCAAGCCATCCACAGCAAGGGCTATGCACACAGGTGAGGGCTGGCAGCACTGGCTGGGGAGATTGGCAGGGGCCCCAGTGGGCACTCAGTGATGTCCATCCCCACAGGGACCTCAAGCCCACCAATGTGCTGCTGGATGAGGATGACCAGCCTGTGCTGATGGACTTGGGCTCCATGAACCAAGCTCGCATCGAAGTCAACAGCTCTCGGGAGGCCATGGCTGTGCAGGTGGGTGGCCTGGGATGTCACCCCATGAGCCTGTCCCTGCTCCAGTCCTTTCATCCCCATCCTCCTCTTAGCAGGACTGGGCTGCCCAGCGTTGCACCATCTCCTACCGTGCCCCCGAGCTCTTCACAGTGCCGAGCCAGTGCGTGATAGATGAGCGTACAGATATCTGGGTAAGGATCCAGCCCTCTGGCCTCCCCCATCCCGCTGCTGCTGGGCTGCACTGACCCCACCTCGCTCCAGTCCTTAGGCTGTGTGCTGTACTGCATGATGTTTGGAGAGGGCCCCTATGATGCCATCTTCCAGAAGGGTGACAGTGTGGCTCTGGCGGTTCAGAACCCCCTCACGTTGCCCTCCACAACCAGGTGAGGGGCTGGGGAGGGTGACCCCGTTCCTGGGTGGCCCCCTGTCCTGTGCACCACATGGGTCCTCCCCTTGCTGTCTTTCTTCCAGATACTCGGCTGCCTTGCAGCGCCTGCTCTTCTCCATGATGACAGTGAACCCCCAGGAGAGACCCAGCATAAATGAAATCCTCCACCAACTGGAGGGGCTGCAGCCAGCACCGCCGGGACAGGACACCACGCAGATCTGAGCCCATCCCCTTCCAGTGGAGACGCCAGGGGAAAAGCAGCTGCCCTAATCCCTGCTGCCCTGCAGACCTGTTGCAGAGGGGATTGATGCCCTGGGGGAGAGCTGCTGCTCTGTCCTGGAGGTGTGTTGGATTTGGAGTGTTCTGTGCCCTGGATGCTGCTGCCTGGGCCTTGGTCTGTGCTCCTGAGCTGTGGATATGTGATCTGCTGCTAAACATGGGTCCCTTGCCAGCTGCTGCCTTCCCTGGGGGTGGCAGAAGAGGATGTTGTGGGACCCCTCCTGGGGATGGGAGCCCTGCAGCTCTGTGCCCCAGGAAGGTTGCTGCTGCCCGGAGCAGAGCTGCGGGCCGGATCCCGGTGCTGTGCTGGAGGGAGGCAGAGGGAGTGCCCACTCTGCCATTGCTCTTGGCACTGATGTTGCCTTGTGTTTGAAGTAAAGTATGTTCTTGCAGAGCTGTGGCTGTGTCCCTGTCTGCAGGGAGGGGTTCTGCCGGGGCATGGGAAGAGCAGGGCACGCTGTCTGGGTTCGGCAGCCAAGCGTTGCTGGAGGCAAAGGGCAGCGGAGGCCAGCCGGGGCAGCATAGCCAGAGCATTAGCAGTAAGCAGGGAAAGTTAATCCCTGGCCCCAGAATGCTCCTATTGGGAGCTAACACAACTGCAGCTGGAGCCAGACACTGCTGTTCAGAGCCTCCAGAGCTGGGCACTGCAGGACAGGGATCAGCACAGGCAGGCAGGCAGTGGCAGCGGTACAGGCAGAACTTTTCTGCTGCCCATGAAGAGGGAGGTAGATGCCCACACTGGGAAGCTGCCAGACCTTGGGAGGCAGGAGCAGCAGCTCTGCTCTGGTGGGGGTATGCAGAGCATGGGGACACCACAACCACCCCAGCAGAGGACACCCCCAGCCCAAGGGGGACCCTTGGCTGGAGGGGCTCACTGGGGCTCCAGCAGGTGGGCTACCCACAGAGAGGAGGTAAAAAACGAGATGCAGACAAGCAGTTTGACAGGGAGCATTCCCCTCCTTTAATCCTCTCACTGCACACAGCAGTACAGCAGCCGCGGGGGTTTGTGCCATGCTGGGTGCCACTGCAGAGTGCACCCTCTGCACCACAGAGCCAGGCATACTCCTTACCCTGTATGGTGACCACAGGGGCAGGGCTGCCAGATTGCTCCCACTGCTTCAATAACTATCTTTTCTGGCAATCCCACCTACCCTTGGCCGCAAATGAGAAGACCCAAAAGTTGCCATTCTTTTCTTGCTCACACTAAATCTGCTCCCCTGAGCTCCAGGATACAACATGGGGCCATATATCACATGAGGAAGCGGTACCCACCCCTGGCTGGAGTAACGAGTGGGGTGGGATGTGTGCCACGGCACCAGGGACTAGACCCCAGGGCTCTTACCTGCACAGATAGCAAGCTGGAGCTGGAGCAGAGCACTGGGAGGAAGCATAGCAGCACCAGCAGCAGGGCTGAAGCACTCACCACACACCTGACCTGGCAAGAAACCAATACAGCTGGGGGCATACTGGGACACACAGAGGCTCTGAAACGGTTTATTGCAAAGGGTTTCTGCAGGTAACACAGGGAAGGAGCGTGGTCCTTTTTTGGCGGAGGCTTCTCTACTCCTCACCCTCTTCTTCATCCTCGTAGGAGTCCAGGCCCACTTCCTCGTAATCCTTCTCCAGAGCGGCCATGTCTTCCCGCGCCTCGGAGAACTCCCCTTCCTCCATGCCCTCGCCCACGTACCAGTGCACGAAGGCGCGCTTGGCGTACATCAGGTCAAACTTGTGGTCCAGGCGAGCCCAGGCCTCGGCGATGGCCGTGGTGTTGCTCAGCATGCAGACGGCGCGCTGCACCTTGGCCAGGTCCCCCCCCGGCACCACCGTGGGCGGCTGGTAGTTGATGCCCACCTTGAAGCCCGTGGGGCACCAGTCCACAAACTGGATGCTGCGTTTGGTCTTGATGGTGGCGATGGCGGCGTTGACGTCCTTGGGCACCACGTCCCCACGGTACAGCAGGCAGCAGGCCATGTACTTGCCATGGCGAGGGTCACACTTCACCATCTGGTTAGCCGGCTCAAAGCAGGAGTTGGTGATTTCGGCTACCGACAGCTGCTCATGATAAGCCTTCTCTGCGGAGATGACAGGGGCATAGGTGGCCAGGGGGAAGTGAATGCGAGGGTAGGGCACCAGGTTGGTCTGGAACTCGGTCAGATCCACATTCAGGGCTCCATCAAACCGTAGTGATGCTGTAATGGATGAGACAATCTGACTGATGAGTCTGTTCAAGTTGGTGTAGGTTGGGCGCTCGATGTCCAGGTTCCGGCGGCAGATGTCGTAGATGGCCTCGTTGTCCACCATGAAAGCACAGTCCGAGTGCTCCAATGTACTGTGGGTGGTGAGAATGGAGTTGTAGGGCTCTACCACAGCAGTGGAGACTTGTGGTGCCGGGTAGATGGAGAATTCCAGCTTGGACTTCTTGCCGTAATCAACAGAGAGTCGCTCCATCAACAGGGAGGTGAATCCAGAGCCAGTGCCACCTCCAAAACTGTGAAACACCAGGAATCCCTGGAGGCCTGTGCACTGGTCAGCCTGTGGAGAGGGATGAGGAGAGATTACTCTGAGATACATTTCTTTGTGGCAGTCTGGCTTTGCAGAAGTCCCTTCAGGACCTGGTGTATCCCTGCCCTGGTCAGCTGCATATCCCACCCAGGGTGCAGCATGGCTTGCAGTGTGCTGTGAGCCGCAGCAGGACGCTGGACCCCAGTCCAGGGAGACACATCCCCTCTCTGCAGTCACTTACCAGCTTACGGATCCTGTCCAGCACTTGATCAATGATCTCTTTGCCGATGGTGTAGTGCCCACGGGCGTAGTTGTTGGCAGCATCCTCTTTGCCAGTGATCATCTGTTCGGGGTGGAAGAGCTGCCGGTAGACTCCTCCCCGAACCTCATCTAGGAGAGAACAGGGGCAGGTTGAGCCCAGGGGAGGCTGCTGGTTTGAGCCGGCCGCCAAGCAGACACGTGGGTGCTAGCAGCCATCCCTCACCTTGGCTCCGCCTGCCTGTGGCATGGCCAAGGACCCACACGTCAGCAAAGCCAACACCAGCATCGGGTTTCTCTGGCATGAGGAGGTGGCTGCCACCTTCCTGCGCAGCTCAGCTTCTCCCACCCTTCAGGAGCTGCCTGCCCACAGCCCAGCAGGAGCTGCCGTGCCGGTTGGGCTGGTTTCTCTCTGTGCACATGTGGTACAAGCACCGCTGACTCTAAGACACTTCAAGAACAAAAGCAGGTGCTCACGTTTGTGGTTTCTCCTGGGGAAAAAAAAAGGGCCCTCTGGGTCGAACACAGTGCAGGATATTGTCAGAAGACCACGAGCACCAGCTGCCTGCTACATACCCCTGGGGGCACCTCAGGCTGTGTGAACTCCAGGGAGCGTCCTGCAGTGGAGGTTGTTGCCCAAAATAATGACCACTATCAGAGCCCCATTAGGGTGCACTCACCAATCACGGTGGGCTCCAGGTCCACGAAGATGGCCCGTGGGACGTGCTTGCCAGCGCCAGTCTCACAGAAGAAGGTGGTGAAGGAGTCGTCCCCTCCGCCAATGGTTTTGTCGCTGGGCATCTGCCCGTCGGGCTGGATGCCGTGCTCCAGGCAGTACAGCTCCCAGCAGGTGTTGCCCATCTGGACGCCGGCCTGGCCGACGTGGACGGAGATGCACTCGCGCTGGGGAGGGGGAGGCAGGGTCAGATCCTGGCACAGCTCTGTCCTGCCTGCTCCAGGGAGGGCTCTGGCTGGTGCCAGTGCCACACAGTCACCCACACTGGACCTGCTCTGGTCAGTGGTCCCAGAGAGGACATTTTCCTTTGGGTGACCTCCTGCATCACCCTGAGGGGCTCCCCATAGCTGGCGTTGCCCTCAGCCATGCACAGGCACCATGCCAGATCAAGAGCCAGCATTGGCATCCCTCAGCCCCTGCCCTCAATGGACTCTGGCTGGGCCTGTCCTCCAGCAGTAAGGGGAGCAGAGCCTGGCCCAGCTACTCTGCCAGGGTCCCTGGCAGCCTCAGCCCCTTCCCCATGCAACAGCAGTCCAGTGAGGAGCTGAGCTGACAGGTACACACATTTAACCCATGAGGGGCAATCAGCATGGGCAAACCCCTCTGCCTGATGGGCCAGAGCCAGATAAGCAGTACTGCAGCGTCAGTGGCCTTGGGGACGCAAGGGTGGTAGGTGGCAGCCAGCTAAGGGCTGGCAATGAAGACCAGCAGTTTCTGAGGCAACACAGATTCCCTGGGCTACCCAGTCCCAACCCTGTGCTGCAAAACCCGTGTCGGCAGAAGTGATGAGGAGCAGGCTGTGAGCTGGAGATGTGCCTCATGCACTCCATTCCGGAGGTGCAGGCCTGTTCCGCTACTCCAGCATCCCTTCTCTGCTGTCCCTGGCACACCACCTCTGTCCTAGCATCCCTGTTTCACTGCTCCTGGTATCTCTGCCTCCCTGAGCAGGACATCCCGACTCAGCCTCGAGGTCCTGGAGCAATTCACTCCTGCATTTCCCAACTGCACAGTGCTTTTAGCCGCGATGGGGTCCGTGCCCCGGTCCAGCACCCGGGTAGGACAAGGGCTCCTTCTTCCCGCGGGAGGGCCAAGAGCAGCCCCGGCCACAGAGAGGAAGGGAGGGCAGGGGGGCAGGTTCCCCGGCAGGGCCCGGTCAGCGCTGCGGCGGGCAGAGCGCTGCGCTGCGCCTTCTGGCACGGCCCCGGCCCACTCCTGAGCCGCTAAATATAGACAGCTCCAGCCCCGGGCGAGGGCAGCGGCCACTGCCCGCCTCGGAGACCGTCCCCAGCCCGCTCCGCCGCTGCCAGACGCCCGCGGGATGACACTGAAGGCACGGGACCCCCACACCCGTTCCCCGCCGCCAACCCCGCCGGGGCGAGCGCTGCCGCGGGCAGAGCCCCGCCGAACGCCCCGCTCCGGCCCCCGGTGCCCGGCGGGCGCCTCCACCCTCGGCAGCTGTCCCCGTCCATCGCGGCCACCGCTCCCCAGCGGCGAGGTCACCCCCGCTATCCCCAGCGCCCCCCCGCGCTGCGCCGGCGGTGGCGGGAGGGGGACAGGCGCCCCAGGGCCGGTGGCGGCGGGCGTGGGGAAGGAGGGGACGCGTCGCGACGGCTCCAGCGGGCACGGTGCTGCGGGGGCACTGCCGGGGGGCTGCCGGGAGCCCTCCCCGCCGCCGTGCCCGCCTCCCGGCCCGCACTCACCATGTTGCGGCGGGCGGTGCGGGCTGTCCCGGCGGCTCGGTGCGGCGGGGCTCGGCGCGGAGCTGCGGCTGCTGCAATCCCCGCCGCAGCGCTCTCTTATAGGTGGGAGGGGCTTGGTGCCGCCACGCCCCCTTATTTGGGTACACTTGCATGCGGGGAGGGGGTACCCCCTTCGGGGGCCGCGGGAGCCCGGCGGGGTCCGCTCGGCTGCGGAGGAGCCCCGAGGTGCGGGGCCCGAAGCTGCTCCCCCTTCTCTGCCGGGAGGAAGGCAGGGGCATCGGTGCAGGCTGTCGGCAGGAGGCCTGGGGATCAGCTCTCAGGGGTGACGGGCAGTGCTGAGACACCAGCACCGGAGGCAGCGCAGGAGGAACAATCCCTAACCTGTCCTGCTACCAGCTCACCCAAGGGTGTGGGGAGACCCCGAGTCTACCTGGGCCTCTAGAACTGGAGAAAGGAGGAGAAACGCCATAGAGACACGTATCAGATTCAGAAGCCCGCTTTGTCCCTCAAACCTCCCTTTGCCATCAATGCCCTGGGAGGCTCCAGCCAACATTTGCCCTTCTCTCCCGGTGGGGACAGGCAGGCAGTGCTGCACAACCCTGTGAGGCTGCAGATCTGCATGACAAATCTGGGCTGCCAAAAAAGGGTCATTGCAGCCTGCTTGCTGTTAATAACTTGTGACTACATTCAGAGCAGCAGCTCTGTTTGAGCCCTGGCCAGTGCAGCCACCCCTGCCAAGGCCAGGGCTGATACTGCTACTGAGGATGCCTGGACCATCACTTGAATGCTGCCTGAGCAGGGAGAGGGCTCTGTCTTTGATGCCAGGACCTTGGGTCATGCAGCCACCCCTCCCTGGCCAGGGGGGATGAATGGGTCTCTGCTGCTCAGCAGCATGCCAGGAGACACTACTGGGTCCCTTGTCCAGGACAGAGGTCCAGGATAACTTCTAGAAAAAGCTGTAGGACACAATCCAACTCCTACCTCCTTCTGGTGGCAGTCATGTCTGTGAAGATACAGGGAGATGTCAGCAATGAAATGACTCTGAAGGAGCAGATTCCCTCCTTCCCCCAGAATCAGACAAAACATAAGGAGTGGATCAGAGCAGCACCTGAAGTAAGGGGCAGTGACTCCTGCCCTGGCATAGCAGCAGAAGGCACCACTCAGTCTGAGCCTGGCACTCCAGTCACAGGCAAGCAGCGCAGTGCCAGCAGCGTTGCGCAGAGGGATGAGTGCCTGGCTGCGCTCCAGCGGCCAGGGCTGGCCCCCACTCTCCCCTCCAGCTGACACGGGTGCATGCTGGGAGGAGGAGGGCAGGGGAGGACAGCCCCTGTGGGTCAATATAGCTGAAGCATTAGTGGTAAGCAGGGAAAATTAATCTCTGGAAACAGCACACTGGATAATGGGTAACAGAAATCTCCAGTTTGCAGCTGGAGCCAGGAGCTGATGCTGGGAATCCTTACCACGAGGCAGGGCAGTGAGAGGACTCAGAATGGGGACAATGCAGATGATCTGGGCCAGGTAGAGTGGGGCCACATGCCCCAGGGGGAAGGCAGAGCACTGGCAGAGCAGGGCAGGCTGAGGGCAGAGGTACTCCCAGACAGAGGACCACATGCCGAAACTTGGTACTTCTCCTATCACATCAGCAGCACTCCTGCGGATCCTTTGGTGGACATGCTCCGGCACCTTTGTAGAGCCTGCCATGTGTCCTGGACCTATCCCTCTGCTATGGGGCTCTTACCTAAGCGGGGAGCTGGAGCAGAGCACTGGGAGGAAGCATAGCAGCACCAGCAGCAGGGCTGAAGCACTCACCACACACCTGACCTGGCAAGAAACCAATACAGCTGGGGGCATACTGGGACACACAGAGGCTCTGAAACGGTTTATTGCAAAGGGTTTCTGCAGGTAACACAGGGAAGGAGCGTGGTCCTTTTTTGGCGGAGGCTTCTCTACTCCTCACCCTCTTCTTCATCCTCGTAGGAGTCCAGGCCCACTTCCTCGTAATCCTTCTCCAGAGCGGCCATGTCTTCCCGCGCCTCGGAGAACTCCCCTTCCTCCATGCCCTCGCCCACGTACCAGTGCACGAAGGCGCGCTTGGCGTACATCAGGTCAAACTTGTGGTCCAGGCGAGCCCAGGCCTCGGCGATGGCCGTGGTGTTGCTCAGCATGCAGACGGCGCGCTGCACCTTGGCCAGGTCCCCCCCCGGCACCACCGTGGGCGGCTGGTAGTTGATGCCCACCTTGAAGCCCGTGGGGCACCAGTCCACAAACTGGATGCTGCGTTTGGTCTTGATGGTGGCGATGGCGGCGTTGACGTCCTTGGGCACCACGTCCCCGCGGTACAGCAGGCAGCAGGCCATGTACTTGCCATGGCGAGGGTCACACTTCACCATCTGGTTAGCCGGCTCAAAGCAGGAGTTGGTGATTTCTGACACAGACAGCTGCTCATGGTAAGCTCTCTCAGCAGAAACCACGGGGGCATAGGTGGCCAGGGGGAAGTGAATGCGAGGGTAGGGCACCAGGTTGGTCTGGAACTCGGTCAGATCCACATTCAGGGCTCCATCAAACCGTAGTGATGCCGTGATGGATGACACAACCTGGCTGATGAGTCTGTTCAAGTTGGTGTAGGTTGGGCGCTCGATGTCCAGGTTCCGGCGGCAGATGTCGTAGATGGCCTCGTTGTCCACCATGAAAGCACAGTCCGAGTGCTCCAATGTACTGTGGGTGGTGAGAATGGAGTTGTAGGGCTCTACCACAGCAGTGGAGACTTGTGGTGCCGGGTAGATGGAGAATTCCAGCTTGGACTTCTTGCCGTAATCAACAGAGAGTCGCTCCATCAACAGGGAGGTGAATCCAGAGCCAGTGCCACCTCCAAAACTACGAAATACAAGGAATCCCTGGAGGCCTGTGCACTGGTCAGCCTGTGGAGAGAGACAAGTAAGGTTCCCTCAAGCACTGACTTGGCTGGAGGGAAGTTTCAGAGTTTTGTTTATGTAGGTGCAGATTCCTCGCAAGGCACAGCAGAGCTCACAACATGCTCCCACCCCCTGAATGATGCTGGACCCCAGTCCAGGGAGACACATCCCCTCTCTGCAGTCACTTACCAGCTTACGGATCCTGTCCAGCACTTGATCAATGATCTCTTTGCCGATGGTGTAGTGCCCACGGGCGTAGTTGTTGGCAGCATCCTCTTTGCCAGTGATCATCTGTTCGGGGTGGAAGAGCTGCCGGTAGACTCCTCCCCGAATCTCATCTAGGAGAGAGTGGCAAAATAGATTTGCTAACTGGATCTGGGGAAAGGTAGCAGGAGCACTCTTGGGAGTGTCCTGCAGTGGAGGTTGTTGCCCAAAATAATGACCACTATCAGAGCCCCATTAGGGTGTACTCACCAATCACGGTGGGCTCCAGGTCCACGAAGATGGCCCGTGGGACGTGCTTGCCAGCGCCAGTCTCACAGAAGAAGGTGGTGAAGGAGTCGTCCCCTCCGCCAATGGTTTTGTCGCTGGGCATCTGCCCGTCGGGCTGGATGCCGTGCTCCAGGCAGTACAGCTCCCAGCAGGTGTTGCCCATCTGGACGCCGGCCTGGCCGACGTGGACGGAGATGCACTCGCGCTGGGGAGGGGGAGGCAGGGTCAGATCCCAGCAGAAACCAGAAATGCATTCACTGCAGGAAGTGCACAGCCCTGGAAGGGCAGCTCTGGCCCTCGCCAGCTTGGGCAAGCCTCATTGCCCTCGTGCCTGGGTGCCCTGTGTCCATTTCAGTTTTTCTGCTTTCTCCCATATCTAGTGCTCTACCTCTCATCACTTCACTGACCATATCAGGGGCCCAAGGAGATGAGACCCATCTGCAGGAGTCCAGGATATCAGGCCACCCACCCCCTGAACTGGCCTCACCCACAGCCCTGGATAGCATCCAGTGAGCATCTTCTCCACTGCCCAAACATTTGGCTTGGGGGCTGAGGCCCAGCAGCATCTGGCACAGCCCCTGTTGCAATTCCAACAGCAGAGCTGAAGGCTGAGATAGCAGAGCACCACCAGGACACTGGGAGCTGAGGGCACTGAGGGTGGGTGCCCAGCAAGAGCGGGGATTTACAAACATGAATGGATGCCATGCTTTGAGACTCAGCTTTCCTAAATTAGCTCTAGAGGAGGAGGAAGCATTCACTGCATTTTTTAAGTCAACAGAAAGGCTGAGGTGGGAGGGTCTCCTAGCTCACAGCTTCAAGGGTAGTCTCAGGTCCCCCAGGAGAAGCCAGATGAAGGTGGGCTCTACAACCTCACTCCCTTCAGATGTGGCACCCCAGAGCCTGCAGTTTTTTTGTAAGAATGAAAGTATTCCATGCCTTAGATCTGCTGTTGCCAAGGATTTGGATGTGTCATCAGGCACAACTGAGTCAGAGGAGCATCCAAATCAGAATTTCCAGAGCCATGGTGCCCCACTATGAGTCAGCTGGCAGGAAGCTGGTGGAACCAGCCATTTTGCCCTCAGGAGCAGGGCAATGACTGCTGTCCCACAAAGTTGCACAGGATGCAGCATGTCCTGGCTCTCTGCATCTAAAGTGCTTCCAGTGCTGCTTTTCAGAGGCAGCACTGACAGTGAGGGATGGCAAAAAAATAAGCCCTTGATACCCATGGTGAGAGGCAGAAGCCCATGTCCTCACCTTTCCCAAAGCTGAGGTGCAAGAAGAGCAATGCAATACCCCACCTATCCCTCCCAGCAGTCCATAAATGTTGTGTAACACAAGAAGCCAAGGGTAAGACCTGAGGACTTAAGACCTGAGGTAAGTCTTCCAAGATCCTCTACAGAAGGGCATAGGAAACACTTGGCACAGATGCAAGCACCTCAAGGAAGAGGAGATGAGAGAGGACTCCTCCCTGCCAAAGGACCTTGTGAATCAGCTCGGTGGTGGCAGAGGGTTATACTGCTCACTGCACTCCATCCCAACAACAAGCAGCAGCCGGGACTGGCTCTGTGGGACTCAGCACTGACAATAGGCTGGGCAGAGCCCAGCAGCACCAGGACGCAGTAGTGTTGGTCACCAGCCAGCAGACTCTGCCTTCTTCACGGCAAAGTCTGGCACAGGAAGGGCTAGGAGCATGGCTCCGCGGGACAGCAGGCAGGGTGCCCGGGAAACCTTGAGGCTGGGATGCTCTCCAGGGCAGCTGGAGAGCTCACGAGCCAGAGATCGCCGCAGGACCACGGCGGCAGGGCAGCCTGGCAGCCCACCCACAGTGATGCCCACGCTTGGAGCAGGGCAGTGGGTGAAGGAAGCCACAGCTTACTGCCGGAGCTCAGCTGCGGGCCGGCAGCGTGGGGGGCTGGCAGACGGGACAAACTCCCGCAGCCGGGGGTGGCACCGCGGGACACGGGCAGGGACCCACACTATTAAAAGTGGGAGAGGGATGAGACGTGGCGTGTCCGCCCCAGCACCGGGTCTCGGCAGCCGGGCGGCTCGCTGGCGGCCTCCTTGCCACGGGTACAAGGGGATGCTTAAAGAAGGGAGGCTGCTGAGAGCCGGGGAGGGAGCAGCTCAGGAAGAGGCTGAAGCCAGGCAAAGGCAGGGCGAGCACAGCCGGCGCTCCCGTGGCCGGCTGCCCGCATTTCTGGGCTCCCGGGAAGCCGCGGAGAGCCCAGCCCGCTCCGGGGTGCCCTCGCAGCACCGGAGGGAGAGAGCAGCCGGGGCTGGCACTCACCATGATGCCGCCGCTGCCGCACGACCTGCCTGTCCCCGGAGTGCCGCAGCTCCGCACGCCGGGACGGCCCCGCCGCCGCCGCCTTATAGCGGGGGCGGCACCGGCGCTCCGGGGCGGGCCGCCCCGCCCGGGACAGCCCCGAGCGCTTCATAGATTTGAGTGCATTGCGCATATTTGCATAGATTTGCATAGATGGGGCTGTGCTGCCTGGCGGGCTGCATGCTGGGGCATTCGGGGAGCAGCATCCCTGAGTGGGGCACGGGAGACCCGGGGGTCCCCTCGAGGAAAGGGCAGTGGGGCATCAGCGTTGTTCCTGCTATGCTTGCCAGTCTTGGCAGAGGCGTTCTGCTGAAGAACAGAGATGGCACCTTCCAGCTTGGTGTCCTGCTGGTGAAAGGCACCGCCCAGGCACTAACCAGGAGAGACTTCAGGGGCTGAAGCAGGAAAGCCAGGGAAGAGCTTGGCCCAGGTCCTCCCTCCTAGTGGGCTTAGGTGCTGATGTGATCCTTGAGCAAGCAGTGAGCCAGGTCTCTGCCAGCTACCCAAGGCTTCTTGAAAAACACCTGGGAGAATTTCTGGAGGACACACTGGTGGAGAACACCCTCCAGAGATGAGCCCAAACTTTCCTAACCTCTTTGGAGATCACTGAGAAAAAAGCAGGGAGACTCAGTCCTGTCCTTTGTGTCAAGGCCCTCAAGAACAGTTGTTGAAAAGCCCTGCCTGCCAAAGGCTGCTTCTCCATCCTGGCTCTGCATTACCTTCACTGGTTTGATCTGATTTCACAAAGCTGTATGAAATGAATAGTGAGGGTGTAGGGAGAGCTTGGAGCACCTTGGAGGGGTTTTATTGGAGTCTACAGTGACTTCACTGATGTCTGGCCTTACTACAATGAATAATGTGTCCTATCCCCTCCAAAATACTCAAAGCATCCACTGTGGTGCAGAACCAGCCCTGCCTCTGCTTCAGCGCTCTGACTTAATGAGTTTTCACTGAAAAGTGCTGTCATCTCTCAGCTTGATCTGAAAGTTGAAAGCTGGACCTAAATTATCCACCCACAATAGCCTTTCTTTGTGCCTGAGTCACCTGGAAAGTGTCACCTTCACTGATGAGCGTGAGTGAAGTGACTGAAAGCAAGAATACTGCTGCAAAGCCTGTGCTGGTGTCTAAGCAACACATTTTTGAGACCTGCAGAAATGGCTGAGCCAGAGGATCAGAGTGGGTTTAATCAAGTCGATGGGAAAATATTGAGTTGTTTTTTTGTTTTTTTTTTTTTTCCACAGAGATGCCCCAGGTAGGAAGTGCTGCTGAACCTGCACAGGATTCTGTGGTGACTGGATAACTCTGGAAATGCCTCCCTGTGGTATAAACGTCCTTTGAGTGACCTCAGAGATCACTAGATAACACAGACCATGCTGATGCAGATAGTCCATGACAGTGAGAGAGTAATTGGTAGCACTGAGGCATCAAAATTTGAGCCCCAGAAGTTAATTGGAGTGAAAAGGAGTGATGGTATCATCTTCCCTGTGAAAATCTTCACCAAGGTGTTCATTGTAACATGTAGTAGATGCCAGGGAGTCACTTCTCACTGGGTGTGTCCTAGAACCCTCCTAATTCCACAGTGCCAATTAATTCTGGGCATTTATAGCATGAGTGCCTTGCAGCGTGGTTGGAAGCAGAGCTATGCAGCCAGCAGCATTTCAGGCTGTACAGTTCACCCAAATTCTGAAGATTCATATAACGATCTGGTGGTACCTAGGGGTGCAAAATCATGGATCAGTTTACGTACCATGGTGGTGGAGAGTGAAATGTCCCTGATTTGTCAATGCTGCAAATGTGTGCTCACAGTGAAAATACCCACTCAGATGCTGTTTTGTTGGACAATCACAGTGCGAATAACTAACAAGAGAGCCATGAGTCATTGGGACCTGTGCATCCCCATGTGCCTCTGATCTGAAATGCCCAAACAGATGTCTAAGCTTTTTTGAAATGCTTAAGAACATCTGGCTAAATCCAGGGAGCACCAATCGGCTGCATCTTGTCAGTGCCTAACTGCTCAGCAGCCTGCCAGATGCTGGTAGCAGCAGCCTGAAAGCACACACTGGAGGCTGAGCTCACTCTGGCTGGATTTGTCCTGAGGCGACCCCTCTCTCACAGAGATGTTACCCACACATCTAAGTTTTCAGACAGCATCAGAAGTCACACGATTACAAGAATTGCTCAGGAAACATTTTCATTGATGCTCAGAACATAGTTAGACTCTGCATCAGCAGCCAGAGAGATGCAAATAGCAAGCAAGAAAAATTCTAGCATAGTGTCAGAATTCAACCATCTCTTTACTGAAGGATGGGAAAAACTTTGAAGATACCTGAGGGGCAGAGCCCTGCCCTCTGCAGGGGAAGCCCCTACTTGCCACTGTCAGAAACCAGCCAGCTCTTGGCAGGTACCTGCTGGTACAGGAACACCTCTGAGCAAAGCTTGCAGTTACCCAAACAAAGCCTCTCTCTCTCTCTAGCTGTCTTTCAGAAGTATGTTAAAAGACTGCCACACCTAAAGCACCCAGAGCTGAAACTGGGGAGGAGATGAGTTCAGAGCCCAGCCTGGTGCCTCCCATCCACACCCCAGTTCCCTGCTCTCTTTGCTGAGGAAAACCCAAACTATTGTTCCCAGTTTTCCGAGCTCAGTTCCACCCTGCCTGCTCCAGGCAGAGCAAACAGTGTCATGGGGCAGTTTGGGGACATGGCCTTCTTGGGAAGGTAGAAGAGAGCACATAATAAGCTGTGCTGTGGGTTTGGCAAGGAAGCCCACTGTGCCCTCCACTTTAAAGCAAAGACCAGATGGTGAGAGGTGCTTCAGGAGCAGGGCTCCTGTCTGTCTCTAATCTCAGCCAGGAGCTTCCCAAAGAGGTTGCATCCGTGCTTGCCCTGCTTACCCCTCACTCTGTCCTTGCTCTTAATCCTCTTAGCAGGTGGGGAGGTGGAGAAGCCAGGACGTCCCTCCAGCCCATCAGTGCCCTGTGCAGTTTGTTCTCCAGCAGTGGCACAGGCTGGACAAGGTTGGCTGGTGCAACTAATAAGTCTGTTGAAAGCATGGAGCTCGACTGCATGTTGCAGATGTGAGTTCTAGCAAGGCCCTTGTGATGCTAACTGCTTCAGCAGTATCCCACTGAGCACTGTGCAGGGTCCTAAAGCACAGCTGGCTCCTGCTGATGGCCCAGCATCATATGTCCAAGTGCTGCTGCAGTGCTATTATGGCAGCATTTGGGACATACTTTACCACCCTGAAAAATTCTAGCACAGCATGGAGATGGGCAGAAAATGCTCCCTCTGCCATTCCTTAAGCTATGCACGCCTTGTCTATGTCAGAAAGGGCTCTCTGAGTACCTCATCCTTCATCTGGAGCAGGTAGAGCTGATCCAGAGATGAGAAAGAAGGGTGACTGGAAGGCTAGATGCCACAGGCTGCAAGGAAAGAATGGGGAGAATCAGAAGACCAAGAAGAGACTCAACAAAGGCCTCACTGAACATCTTCAGCAATCCACACATGGCGTTAACTCCCAGAGACCTGCTGGGATGTAGGGCACAGTAGAGATCTGACAGAAGTTTTCTCTGCTGCAGCTGAGCAACAGCAGCATAATTGCTGGTTCAGATATAATGAAGTCAATTGTGCAACGGCTGCTGCATCGCCCAGAGCGTGTGCCCTGGTACAGAAACAATAAAGCTAATTCCAGATCTCGCTACAGTCCTAAGCCCTGAATCACAGGGCAGTGGCAAGAGCAGGGAGGCACTCCCCGGGACACAGGCAGCCATGCAAGCCAAGCCCCAACCTGCGAGGCTAAAAGGGGCTGTCGGACAAGTTGGAGCGAGCTCTTTCTCAGGCACAGCAGGCCCTGGGTGAGCAGCCTTCCTGGCTCAGAGCCAGCTGCCCTGGCTGCCGGTGTCACCTGCCTTTCTTCATGTCCTGGGAAAGGCAGCTACACACCCACGGGAGCAAAATAAAACCTCACCTGTCTAATTGCAGTGACTTCATGTCAGAGGTCTGAGCATGCCTGGTGTGAACAATCTGCCTCCAGGCGGGTGACAGAGGCACTGAGCGTGCTGAGGTGGCCCCTTGTTCTCAAGGAATATCGGTGTGCATTGCTGATGGGCTTCTGTGGAGGTGCCAGTGATGCTTTTCCTCTTCTCCATCAGCTCTCAGAGCTGGTGATGGCACAAGCAGTGCAGGAATACCTGGAAATAGAAGTGCAATGAATTCTGCAAGGCTGTGTGATGGTAGGAACTCCTGGAGGGTTATGGGTTACCCCAGAAGGCTGAAGGGGCTCTCCATGCACCAGACAGAAGTGTAGGCATGGTGATGTCTTCATGCCCAGCCCTTTAGGCCTTCCTGTCTTACAAGTTCTCAGAACAGCAACAAAGCTGTGGCCAGCTCTGTCGCAATGCCAAAGACTGTGAGCTGGTAGTGATGGGGCAAGAAGCAGCCACCACTTCCCCTGCTCCCTGCCTTGCCTGTGGGACTGCAGCTGAGCCCCTGGGCAGCAGAGGGGACATGGCAGATTCATGTGGGGCAGCTCTGCAGATGCACCCCCTCCTCTGAGGCACATACATCACACCCAGGTGGACCAGTCCTGAACCCACTGGGAAAGGAAATAATTCCCGTCACAGAAGCTTCTTGATGACGGCCCTGCTGTGCCCTGGCTTTTGGAGAGCAGTTGAGCATCCCGTGGCTGGAGAGATGTCTGCAAGATGTTTTGTTTTACAGTAGAAGTGAGTTGTATAATAATGCAAACAGCTTGCTGGCCCCAGGGCAAGCCAAGGGCAGAGCTGGGCCTGGAGAAACTAGCCTGGAGTCTGGGGCATTGCTGTAGAGTTGTTAAAAGTGGAAAGGAGGTGCTGGCAGCTGGCCAAGCACTGTTGGATGTCAGAGGGAAACAGTTAATGTGATAAAAGATGCATTTAATAACTCTTCTGGGTAATGGCTCCCAGGGTGCTCCTGCCAGGAGCTGTTTGTGTGCAGAGAGAGTGTGATATTGTGAAACAAGGGCCGTCATCCCTGCTCCTCCCAGAGCCTGGGGGCTGGGAGCCACTGGCCGCAAGCCACTGGGCTGACACCTTGAGTCCAATGGACATCTTGAGGTTGTCTGGCTCAAACTTGTATCTGAGAGCTTCCTAGCAGAGTTAAGCCAGATGATGAAAGGCTGTGCATGCGAAATAGCAGCTATTTGGCTGAATTCCCCTGTTGCAAGGTCTCGGAGCACCAATCTGCTGAATTTTCATGCTTAATGTGGCCCTCCTCATTAGGACAAGCCACCTCCAAGCACCCTGAGCACCACTAGGGCTGCTGTGCCTTCCCTGCGATGGTGTGGCCTGGACAGCGTGACTCTTGTTCTGCCACTTAATAGCCTGGCACCGGACACATTCTGGAGAGCTTTGCCACCTCCCAGGCAGGAGGATGCAGAGTCTGGCAAGGGCTGGGCACCAAGCACTCCTCCATATGTTGGGGCACCCTAAGCAGCTTTATTAGGCGCTGATTAACATGGAAGACCCACTTGCCAAGCAATCCTGGTTTCAATTATTGAGACGACAGGTCTGCTCAGGAAAAAAGGCAGGGAAGGCTCGCTGAGAGGAGGGTGTGGTGCCCGGGAGGCAGCCGCGGGAACCCACGTGCTGGTTTGCAACAGTGAATCATCGGCAAAGAGCTGCTGGGATAGTGCAGGGATTCCTGCCAGGCACCCCTGGCTTCCAGGGTT